TGTACTTCAATGCCAAATACTTGTTGCGCGCAGACATTTTTGGAACATTCACAAGATACAGGCAACCTTGGTTGTTTTCGAACACTGTAGAGCGCAGAGACTATCAGTAATTACGGCATATTCAGTTTGCTACCAATTTCCTTGAGCAAAGCTCGCATAGAAGCAGCTCCCTCATTGACATAGCTGAAGGCAACATACTCAGCAGCAGTGGAGCTCAAGTAATGTCAGTCTGTAGCTTGCTCGACCAGATAATAGGGCACCAAAACAGAGTCAGGACAATTCCAGTGCGAGATTGACGACACAGGATCCTGATCATACTCATATCCATATAATCCTGCGAAGGTTCAGGCATATCCTCTCTTTTTTTAGCCACTTCTTCAGGTCCAATATCGGGGAGTCAAAAGGCATCGTGGCCAAGTATATTCCGACTTTGGAACAACGGGCCGACAATTTTCACTAAGGGTCTTCCGGGTCCACAGTTTGCTGTCATTCGGAAGCCACTCATGGGATGGTATTTCCTCAGCTCTTTGCTGGGGACTCTCTCCTATTGTTTCTTGCTCATCTTCATTTCAGCTGTAAGAGAGTGGCGACGGGTTACAGTCTTACAATTCAGCTTACAGCTTTACAATTAGCAGGCTTATTCTAGAAAATAATCAATAACTGCTACTGTATTGTGGAAATACAAACTTTACATCTCTTAGATCCTTAGATTAATCAAGCACAATGGTATTGTCCGCAAACTGTGGTGATAGATACGCCCGGTAGGCACTCGCGTGAGGACTCGTGAGGCAGGTAGTGCGGAATGGCATGAGGCGGACGGGACCGGTAGGAGTCTACATCTGCCTCGCCGTTCCCATCGGGGACCCGAGTGAAGGTTCGGTGGATCGCACCCCAACATAGTACGCGGCCATCAAGATTACGCCAAGGTCTTTGGCAACGAGTGGTCCGCGACGCGCTGTGAAGCTGTCGTTTCGGAAGTGATCACAGGGGCGATGGTCGTTGGAGGTCGTCTTCCAGTGAAGTACAACGGAAGAGATTGTCGTACAGGTGAGAGACACGTTCGTAAAGTCAGCTGCGGTAGCAGTGAACGGGGAGTGTCCGACGTGGATGTAGTCTTCATCACCGTCAAGTACGAACGCGATGAGGGGGGTGGTTGACCGATATGTCAGTAGACGCCAGCAGACACAGTGTGGCTTGCGACAGCCCGACTGTCACAGTGTTAGCATTGGCACAACACGGTTGAGAGCCCGTCGGTTTAGCGTATGTAGTCAAATCATGAAAGCCGTCCCAGTTGGGTTGCTCAGCGGTGTCGACGTGAGAGTAGAGAATAAGAGTTGGCCATGGTCGATGGAATTTCGAAGAGATTTAGACCCTCGATGCCGACGCAAGAGTTATAACTATTCTATTCTAGCTTGCAGCTCGGCTTGAAGGAAGAATTGTGAGCTAGAGAAGGAGACAACCTTCTTCGATCGACTGTTCAATGGCTGGAGGAGAGAGTTGGACCGGTCTTGCGTTTGTGTTCATTCCAGGTTGCTATCTGTGAGCGGTCTTCGTGGGTGCTATTGCCTTAGAGTGGATCTTGCGAAAAGGCAGTGGCAATCGACATGTATTGTGGGTATCCATTTCAGGAACGGAGGTGATGACCTGGGAGTTGTAGAGATGTACTTGTTGTGTGTGAGCGAAGTGTGGGATAGTTCGTATTTTGTGAGATGGACCAGTCTGGCAACTGTGAGTCGAGTCATTCATCGAAGAACCCATGAGGGTTCAGGTTTCCACGCCGGTCAGCGTGGATGGATAGGGATCGGGATCGTTTGTCTTCTTTGGCGTGCGGCTGCTCAACAAGATAGCCCATTTTGCAAGATTCAAATTTTTTTGCTTCCGATGGATCAACCGATTCCACTCACTCTATTGGGATGGTTGCCATTATTATTGTGGTTGTCACTTCTTCTTCTCTCTACGATGTCGTCTTCAAGTGCTGAATGGGGTTTCCGACGTTCACACAAGGTCAACAGGGTGCAGCTATGGGTGCCTGGTGGCTCTAGATGGCATCAGAGCAGCTGCTTGGAGTCCATGGCCAAATTTCGAATTTGATTTGCAATGCCGGGTGCGTCAAAGCCTGGAAGATTCTTTTGGTCCATTCAAAGGATGGCCATGCTGGTCGCAGGAATCATGAAAACCTTAGCTGCTCTCGGTGGGTCTATCATTGCCACACTCTGTATAATGAGGGAGTTTCTAAGACGCAGCAGCAGACGAAAAGGCAGTGGCAACAAGGGTGTCAAGTTGCGAGATCTTTTTTCTGAGACGAGACCAGTCACACCAACGGAACTTGCAGTTGACGAAGCAGTTGCCGAAGCTATCGAGGAAAACAATGACACAGAAAATAAAGATTTGATGTCTGTGCTCAATGATACCATCAGTTGGCGCCCCCGCAAAGATCATGTTCCCACCACCCCGCTGTTTGATTACCTCCTCCAAGGCAATAAATCAATGGATTCTGGTTGGCTTCGGAAGGAGGTTTTTGGAACTATTGAAACTGAATGCAAAAGACCTCAAATCCCAGTGAAGGAAAAGAGACTTCTGACGTTCCTTCTATTCTGTCTTTCGGGTGTTTCGGATCAAAAAGATGGCCATACACCAGGAGCTTTGCTGTCAGTGGCGTGGGGATTTTCGAAGCCTGCCATTCTAAGGGCTGGTTCATGGTCGTTAGAGCAAGATTTTGTTGCTTGGATTACTGCAGATGGAGACAACGAAACTGATGGAGACAAAGGGAAGAAACGAAACAAGTCTATGGATGCTGGCCCTTCTAATCAAGTCTTCCAGTCGCCGACAGCAGGGCCAGGAAAACGACGAGACCTTAAGTCAACTCCAGCATTGCTGGTAGAGACAAAGATTGCCTCACCCTCGAGTACATCGTCCCCTGCCTCAGCAACCTGCTCCCCTATTAGCGCTTCTGAAGAGGAGGATGGTTTTGTCTGCTTCTCGCCTGAACGCGAAAGCACCAACACCAATGGAAAACGGCTGGACTTTGGCCAACATGAAGACGGCCCTTCCAGTGTCGATGCTCTGGTTCAGGCAGACAAAAATTTGCACATTGATACATCCACTCAAACGATACAACAGACCATCGATGCAGTGGCTCAGACAGATACCAAGCCTCTCGTTGATGCATCTACGCAAACCGATTTTCACTCTCGGCTCCAAGCAGACATAAGTGAAGACAATGTGAGCAGGCAGTGCGAGTCGGATATTTGCCGTGCTCTGTTTCTCCTTTTTAAACAGAACCGGCCATTGGCAGCAGCTTCCAACCCAGACAGAGTCTCCACACTCGCAGCAACCGAAATTCTAACACTTCGCCAACTGAGTGGGTCATCTCTAAAGATCATGCGAATTAAGTCGACCAGGAATGGGACAAAAGGAGACTCGAAGGGAAGAAAGACAAAAACCAAAGCCCTCCTTGTAGAGACTTTGGTTTCTAATCTTGGATTGTCAGAGAACGAGACGGTGGCTGTACTGAAGCATTTCGCTGTCAGGCGCAATCTTCAAGTTCTCAAACAATCCGAATGTTCCTTTACCATCGACCAGTGTGCAGCTTTGATGCTATATCTCCCTGTCACAGCTCGTGGCTTAGAACGAAGCCAAAAGTTTGCAAAAGTTGCTTTGCCAAAGCTCGGAAATGCTCTGTATCCAACGCGGCTGAGAAAGAAGCTTGCGACCTACTCCATCGATTCATTCAATTTGAAGCTTGGCTTTGAGCTTGTGTCATTGGAAATTGGAGGTGAAAAGAGGAACCAACGATGCTTGCATGTCTGGATAAGGGAACCTGCAGCCGCGGTCGAAGCTCTCGCCCAAAGCGCTCTCATCTCTGGCAGATTCGAATGCTCAAGTCAGTTTTCTAACCACACAAACGCACTCATTGTAACACAAGGATCAGATCGAGGGGGGGATATCACTTCCAATATGATCAGAGTTGCCAACCGCGCCGGAGGAAACAGCTCACAGCACTGCCTTCCGCTTTCCTTTTATGAATTTGGGAAAGAAAGTTACAACAATCTGCAGCAGACTATTTTCAACGAGTACAAGCCAACAAAGAAGTTTCTTCAATCCTTGCTTTACGGCTCATATCATATGATTGTTGTGACAGTCAATAGCACCGACGGCAGCACAGTGTTGGACGCGCAATGTGTCATCCTTCAAATCAATTCAGGAATGCAACAAAATAGCCCTCAAAACTACACAGTGAAACGAAATCACGCTGATGATTCACTATTTGTGCTTCCGGAATCAGAAGAGAGAGAGCTTCCGCCAGTCATTGATCTGATGCAACGTGATGAAGCAACACAGGCCCTGGGATCATCCATAGATCCAAAGGAGATATCGATTCAACTTGGAGTGTCAAGAGTTAGCAACGATAATGAGGACGACAACGACAACGATGATGACGACAACAACAACAACAACAACAACAACAACAAGGCAGTTCAATACAAAGGCTTCACGCTCCGAAACTGTCTCGGCAGAGTCGTCCACAGAGCTCGCTTTTCGGAGCCGCTCGTCTCTAACTCACCAAACAATCAAGTCGATTCAAATTGTCTGGCGTGTGTATGTATGTCGTCTGATGATATCAAATGCAACGTTACTCTCATGGGACAAGGAACTGCCTCATCAATGTGCCCATGCACTATCTGCACAGCAGCAAAGAAGGATTTCGCATCATACACCACCAAGAACAGAGATCAGCAGGCGCCATACAGAGCTGGCCAATACGCAAACCCAACTCTCTATGATGCGTTTGTCGATGAGTCCGGTGGCAGGTTAGAGTGGGTTCGCCTCAATTCAACAGGCTTTGCGAAGAAAATGAAATCCAAATACAAGAGTGTTGTCCATGAACCGCTGCTTTACACTCCTCCGAACTTGAATAGTGGCTCCATCATGCATGTGTCCAGCGGCCTGTTGACTCATTGCACAGTTAAAATGCTGGAAAAACTGGCAGTTGTGGATGGTCGAACGCCATGGCTGGACGATTTATCCGCGCATGTGGAGGACGCAAAGCAGTTCATTCGATCCTCTCATTCTAAAGCAGACGTGTTGCGCAAGGAAGATGCAAAAAAAGTTCGCGACTTGAAAGCTGCTGAACAGTCTGGTTTTGGGGAAGCTGTAATCCAAAGCTACGTGGATGAACGTCATCAGCTCTCACTGGAGCTAGCTGCATTAACGAAGGCTATTGTCGCTGCAAAGTTGTTTGTCGAGAAGGGAAGCGATTTCTTGAACGCAGTTGGCAAGAAAACGAAACTGCGAATCGTCGGTCCAGCAACCTATGCCTTTCGAAAAGCGTACGAAGTGGACGGGCGAGTACCTTTTCGAGTTGAGAACAGTGGGTTTGAGCTTTCAAATGGCGATGGAATTAGAGTGTTAGAGAGGAGGCAAAAGATTGTCGAAAGGATGGGAAAGATATTTGGTGACCAGCAGCTTCAATCTCACGTGGATGGCTTGATGGAAGTCTATTTGGAGCTCACACGTTTGCTTTATGACATCTCAATCAAAATGAAGAGTCAAAAGAGGTGGTCGATGGACGACTGCGATGCGTTCGAAGCAAAGACTCGATTGTACGCTCAGAAGTGGATTGATTTCACTGGTGGTTCTGAAGACGTCAATGAAGGAAACGTATTCAACAAGCTACACGTTCTGACCACTCATACTACTTTGTTTGCTCGCCAGCACGGATTGCTTGGACGTGTTTCCGAAGAAGGCTTCGAATCTTCGCATAAGTCTATTGAATCAGTCCGAAAGCCACTCGCTTGCATGACCTCCACCAGTGACCGAGCCCACACAATCTACCGACGGATTCTATTGCAGTCTAGGCCGGAGGTTGAATCAATCTTCCGGAGTATTGATGAAGCATTCACAAAGAAAAAGCGGGGACCTTACAGGAAAGATCCAACCAAGATGAAAACAGCAGACTCGGCACCTGCTGGCAACAACATCGATCAACGGCAGCTCTTGCCACAAGGATTCGTACACTCTATTAATGGCTACGTGGTGAAAGAGAAGTGGCGTGATGCTTTCGAATATGTTTGCTTTAGCAAGGTGCCGAACTCTTGGTGTGGAGTGTTTGTGGACGATTGTACCCTCGGAGAGGCATGTCGTTTGAAGGCGGAATATGCATAAACTAACTATAATCTCTTCTATTAAGTAGCCACAATGGTCAACCTCATCATGGTGACAGAGATAATAGAGCATTTGGAGTCGGCCGACGGCCCTAAAGTGGACTTTCAGCTGTCGTTTTCGTCATTGTGAGGTGCTTTTCGATTCAAGGGCACGAAACGTTTTGGTTTTCACCATGTGAAGCCCTATCCCTATTTTGCCCTTGGCGCGCAGGGCCGCTATTGTCCCCTCGAAATTCGAATTTTTTCTGCGCTCGTCTCCTGTACCCTTTGCCTCAACCAACAGTTTACAACCGGATATTGTCAATCCAGCCATCCTCGTAGCCAGCTACCGTAGAGTTCATCGATCAGTGACAGTGGCAACAGTACCGAACACACTCAGGTTCGACTTTGCTCGCTGCACTCAGTTACCTCGCATTGGATCCTTATGACGAATACAGGCACAAAACCGAATATTGTTAATCCAGCCATTGTAGCCGG